GCCGTAAAGTAGATGGTGACGAGAAGTAGGGGAGCGATACAGACAGACTAAATCGAGCATTTTAGAGAGAGCTGTATGAGTATTGGCGCGCTCCCAGTATGGGCGAGTTGGTCGCTCCCTGTCCGAATGCTCGTGGCAGCCAATTTTTTTCTTTTTTCTTCTCTTTTTTTCGGACCAGGAGGTGGGAGTAAGGGACGGCCTGCTGGGAAGGGGAAGGGTATGTTTTCCGCTCTCCGTTGTGCGAAGAGCAGTAATGAAGCCAACGCAGCGAGCAAAGTCAGCCCCATCGCAGTGAACAGTTTCATGTACCAGGAGGGCGGTAGCCAAGTACCTTGCCGTCAGCGTGTGAGAATTGCGGTCGGCGTCACAGCAGCAACCGTGTAGAAGGAAGGCCCCCCGCCACAGCAGTTTATCCACTATGTAGCTTTTTCGAAAGCTGCAGTTTTAAAGCGGGACAGGAGGCGGTGAAGTCTAATACTGTCTTCTGTTTGTTGTTGCGTTTGTTTGCGTCCCGTGTTGGCGTTGTTAATTTCGAACGCGGAGCGTGATTGTAACGCCGCGCTCCCTTTGGCTGTGCGGTGCACTGATTGTTGCGTGTCTGGCGGAAGGGATGACGCGCGACTTGAATCCGATTGTGAGAGTTGTTTGGTTGTCGCTCCGACATGGGTTACTGGTGTGGGCTATGGTTTTGCGGACACGTTCGCGAGGGGTCGTTATCCCATGTACTTTTTTTTGTCATGTCATTGTTTCTTGCCTGCTGTCTTGGGGGTTGTTTTTTCGGCTACATGGTCGAGGCAAAATACCCGAAGGCGATCAACGTTTAGTTTGTTTTGTCTCCCGTGACGTTGGATCGGGTTCGATAGGAAAGTACAAGTGTCCCTTTGTTTTTGTTTTTTTTTTAAATCAGGGCGGCGTGCGCAACTTCTTTCTTGGCGTGGTTCCGTTTTTTTATTTCATTGAGATTTGATTTATTTGGCATCTATACTAGAGGAGCAGGTAGCCTTAAAGGTTGCGGGGTCCGGGTGGTGTCTGTGCTTGGTTGTATCCCTTGTGTTTGGTGTTTTTCTTCCAGCGGGGGTGTGTCTCGCTCTGCCTGGTGTCGATAAACGAGAGCGAGTGCAACATGCACTATCACTAATCGATTAAGCGGAGTAGGGTCACCAGCCATGTGAACGGTTGCGGTTCATCGCAATGCCGAAGAGCGGGTCCTTCCCCTGCGCGCGTGTGTGTTGTCCCTGGTACGCTAGGGTAAGCTGGTCGTGGAGGACTAACATCTATTTTTCTTCAATTCTTAGGAGACGCTGCGGCCCAAGGTTCCTTGTGCGATGTTCAGCTCTCGTGAGAACGGTAGAACTGTCTATCTACGAGAGGGAGGGTTGTTCGAGAGGGCAGCTTACCCCCTGTACATCGTACGCGGGTTCAGCGTGTCCGTTGCTCTGCTTTGTGGCAACCCCCGCTGAAGGGCATATCTCCGACAAATAGTCTGATTGATACGTCACGATCTACGAGACATTCTGAGGGTTTCCCTCATCACTCGCCTACACTACACTACACGCCATCAAGTACAAGAAAGAAATCTCTTGTTGTCCAAAGTTGTCTCGCCCACGTACTCCTTCTCATAATGCAGGATCTTCCCTCTTCACACAGCCGGGAGCGTGAGGCACGTAAGAGTGCGGGCCCGCAGACCAGGAACAAATGTCACCATCGCGTCGGTTTGGCCAATTCTTGTTTCGACACCACCGTCGACTCAGTCAGGCTACTGTTTTCTTGTGCCTAGTAGGAGGATCCTCGGCTTACACATGTTGCTCGGCCCATTTTTCAAATATTTCGTGAAAAATTGAGGTAACTGGCCACGATGAGGCCAACATATATGACAGCGAAGTCCATCATGCCGTGAAAAAAGCAAGATTGAAAAACAAGTTCTCACGAGAAACGAATCGAACGGATGATGATACATTCATTCGGCTATCATAGAGCACCCCCACGAGAGACTTTTTTCTGCTGCGAAAAAGCTAGGCACAGCGGATGCCACTGCAGCAATTTCGGCCAATAGACCGGATCTTGCCAACTCGTTGGTTTGATGCAGAGCAGAGAGCGCACCCCACACAAGCACGCGTAAAGCTTGCCGCCTGCACCAGCCGGCGCGCTGGGAGTGGGCTGAATAGTCTTGCTGGCCCTACTAGCCTTTGTCACACAAAGCTCCAAGCCATAAAACGGTATTCTGAAGGAGTAACGAGCGTGGAATGTATAAGGGAAACATCGCGGGTGGATACAAAAATAGTTGTCCAACATGCATTCAACCAAGCCTATGACAAAAGGAACGGTCAGACGCCCGCCCCGGGTGCTTCAAGGTACAACTGTGGCCGCAATACTCAACGTTTCGAGAGACCAAGAGGTTCCGAACAACCTTATGCCCGTAAGGAACAGATCGGTGTATGCGCTACGGCGTGGCCTGTGGGCCACAGGAGCTAGTTTTAGGGTCTCGCTGTCCAATTCAAGTCGGTGATCCGGTCTAAAAAAACACCCACAACGAGAATGCGAGAGGGGGATACATTTCAATCGAGTTCTTACCTCTTGGGTCAAGAATACAGGCAAAACGTGCTGGCTCCAAACTGCTGTTTCAATCTCCGTCCGTAGAAACGTTGGGTTGCTTGGGCACTTTATTTTATCCCGTACCTAACTTGCTTGTGAAACGAGCAAGCCCGACATCAGGAGCAGGGCTTCGCTTGCTCATTTCGAACGGAAGCAAGCACCAATGGACCGGATCTTCCTGGTAGTACGTCAGGCAGTCGAAAATGGCAGCATGGCACACCAGCTGCTGCTGCGTTTGTAAGCAGCTAGGCTCCCGTGTGCAGCGACACGTGCAGCGACGCGTGCATCATGAGCGCATGGACCCATGCTACCCAGGGCGGTGGTGATTAACTCTCAGATCGCTTGCTCGTATCTCTCGCCCAAAGGTGAGAGAAAGGTCTGCTGTCGGTTTGATTCACGGCAAATTCAAGGATAACATCATTTTGTCTTTGTTTTTCTATGTGGAACAATCAAGTGGCAAATCTCCGACAAATTTTGAGTGGGAGTAAAAGGCAGTGTGCTTTGGCCTCTTGGGTCCCACATGATGGTAGAACCTTGAAGGCTGTCACCCTTACTCATTGAACTCCGCCTGGGTGAGCTTGCTCTCACTCAGGTTAGACATGTCGCGAGACATCATGAATCAAAACGGCGAGGGTTTCAAGGAGCAAAACGAGAGCGAGCGACGGCGAGAAAAAGACAAACAACTTGTCAAGAAGAAATGATTCTTGCGGAAATACGGTTCGTTGTACAGCATGGTCGCCCATCCCCGTTCTCTCCCCGGGGCGGTTGTAGATGCAGAGTAAAACGTAGCGACAAAGTCACCAGGTAACCAAACAACACAGTCACACACGGAAAACTCTGTCAGAGGTGGAAGCCCCGAAATTTTTAGCTTCATCCTTGACCTGAGAAGTCAGAGATTGCTTGGCGTGTCATCCCCTCTTTGACGCCCGTGCGGGTGATTATTGCTGCTGTGTACAGCAAACATGTCTCTTTTTGTGTTCAAATAGAAATGAAGACGAGCCTGGCCATGAGTCCATACGCTGATGCCTACCACGTATCAACGGTCTGCGGGTGGCTGCATGGTATAGGGCAGTCTCTGGCAGTCAACCTACCGTAGGAATTACGGCTGCAGTCATTGATACACGCTCTCAGGCGTGGAGCGTGCCCGCTCCTTTTTGATATGCTTGTTTGAAGGAAACTTGACTTCTTTTCCCTTATTTTTTCAGCGATACTTAACGGAGAGGGTCGTCTACATTCCACGCTCGTTACTCCTTCAGAATACCGTTTATGGCTTGGAGCTTTGTGTGACAAAGGCTAGTAGGGCCAGCAAGACTATTCAGCCCACTCCCAGCGCGCCGGCTGGTGCAGGCGGCAAGCTTTACGCGTGCTTGTGTGGGGTGCGCTCACTGCTCTGCATCAAACCAACGAATTGGCAAGATCCGGTCTATTGGCCGAAATTGATGCAGTGGCATTCCCTGTGCCTAGCTTTTTCGCAGCAGAAAAAAGTCTCTCGTGGAGGTGCTCTATTTGTATATGATGTGGATCAACCCGTTCACCCCCTGGGGGAGGTTCCGTACGTTGCTATGGACTTACTGCTGCTGTAGTGATCGCCACACGATATCGCCTATCCAATACTACCATGAATACCACAGTTATTTCCCCGTACACGCTGCGGCGTGTTGTTGTGACCAAGCAAGCGTGTTAAGAAAATTTACAGGGGGGTGAGGCGGCAACGAACCACCCTAGTGGTCAAGTGCATTCAAAGTGGGCACTGGAGTACATGAGCGGGACCACAGTCCGGCGCAGTAGGAGGCCTCACCCAAATAAATCCAAACTCGCTCACTCACATGATTTACATGATCCGGGCGGATCTTGATCTAATAGATGGTCTGTCTGCCATTGTAGGTACGAGCCTTCTGATTATTCCCTTGTTGCATTGGAATTGTATTTTCACGACTGTCCGTTGCCGCGCCTAAGCTCAGAAGAGCCACAGCCAGGGCAACAATACACATGGCTGCTGCTGCTGCTGCTGCTGCTGCAGTTTGTTTTTTGCGTTGCTGTTTGCAGACATGCTTCGATAAGATAACCTGGATGCCCTTCTCGTGCCCAAAGGTTTTGTTGCGACCATTTTTTCGTACCCTCACCGCGGATGCTGCATCGTCACTCCCCCCCCTCGTAAATAGCTGATCAACGACGCCTAACTGCGGGAGGCTCCCAGGTAGGATAGACAGGTGAAAGCTGTGGGGACGGAAAATGATTCTGTGCTGTTGGGGTCATGAACACAGAAAACGAAGATACTGACCGGGATCGATCCCGGATCGTTTTTGGAGAGGAGGGAGATGATGACAACCCCGAAAAATGAGACCCCTCTCTCCTTTTCAAAGCTGTGTTGGCAGTAACAAACCATCGGAGAGAATTCCACCGATATGTGTGTGTACCATGTTGTTGACTTCCCGCAAGGAGCACACTCGGTGTGGCACACACCTGAAGGGGTGGGGGGGGGGAAGACTGGGGCAGAGGTCCGGGACGGTTCTCGGCGCATCTCCGGATCGGATGCGCGTGCGGCGCAACACGAACAGGAACGTTCTGGAGAACAGAACCTCTGTGACGTTGACATCATCTCTGGACGACCAGCAACCAGCCCCCCCCCTCCGGCGAGGAGGGGCGAAGTGCACGGCGCGACAGCGAAGAAGGTGAAGAAATGCGTTTCAGTGGTAAATTCCCGGCCATTGTCGTCGCCGTGATCTGTGGTGTTGAGCGGGTGTGTGCGTATGCATATATGTGTACGCCAACTTCAATGATGGTGACTGCTATACCTTGTGTCCTTGTGTACAGTCAGCACCGAGGATCTCATCTGCTGTGCAGGTACCAAGCTGCAGCTGCTGCGGGCTTGAAGGTTACTTCCTGTCGGTGCACGGTCGTGCGTATTCGTAACGGAGCATCAAATCCTATCTGGTGTTATGTCAGTCACCGACGCAGAACGGGTAGCCGATGCTGAGATCTGCGCAACGATGCCTGTAGAAGGCACTCGGCGAAGCTCCGTTTCCTGTCGAGATGATGAGCCCCGCTGATTGTAGACATGTGCGCAGATACGTGATCATGCCTTACCACCCTCGCACCTGGATGAATGTACTTCAAAAATTGTCCAGTTTTCCCCTTGTTCTTTGTTCCCCTATCTAATGAATCCATTGCTGTTCAGTACTATGTACTGCTATTTTGTTGGTGCCATGGTCGTACACCCAATCTTCGCGACCTTTGGTGATGCTCCAACCAGCGCGTTTCGTCGTGTCAGGAAACTCGAGACTCGCATACAATAACCAGGACAAGCCATGGCGCAAAGAGCAGCCGTGATAGCATGCGTGCTTTATTTCTTCCTTTTCATGGCACACGGCTGTGTCGCGCCGTTCATGCCCCTCATCTGGCGATCCAAGGGGCTCTCCGGTGAGAGGATGCTGCTGTGTACAAAATTTACTGCTTGCTTAATATTTACCGACCATCAAATCTTATTATTTAGTTGGTTGCGACAGGGTGCTGTACACTGCTGTCGAGCATTTATAGGTGCCGTATGTAGACTGGTCTCGAGCATCAGGACGTACGGAAACTGCACGCAAGGAGCGGGGATACAGCTGCCATTCTCGAATGTACCTGGCGGACTCAAGGAAAGAATAAATCGAAACCTGGTTTTCGAGAGCGGCGCTCATCGACAAGTTCCGAGGTTCAAGCCTCTGGTAAAGCTGCCGATCAGCTTACAAACTCAGTGATATGCACACCTCCCGAAGTTCATACCGACGTCACCCCATGGGAAGGCTAGTGAACTTCAACGAAACGTTAGAAGTAGAGTGACACCCTGAAATACCTCTCCTTTTGCTCTGCTTACCTAATGTTGCTGCCGTTTTGCCTTGCTGCTGTTCGCTGCCCGCCGAGAAAACCAGAACACCAGGTCGGTATATTGGGGGCGATTCGACCCGTGGCCTCCTTCTTCGTAACCCCGGTCATGTGCGCGTTCGCGGACAGGCATAGCATTCACCAGCAGGTGCGTGCGTGCTGTGTCAAACCATGGCAGCACTAGGCCTGCCATATGCGTTTCTAGTGACGCACCCACACGCGTGCATTCGCCCGGGACGACTTGGAAGCAGTCTACGGATCGTGGGGGGTTGGTTACCTAAAGCGCTGCCGAGGGACTCGTTTGAGGACGAACAAGGCCAAGTCTCTTGATCATGTGCATGGCCAGAGGTCGCCCCGGCTCGTGTATACCATACCAAGTATCTTGCCAGCCAGCCCCGAGTTTGATGACGTTGCGCAGAAGGCGTGTGCGTTTCAAACGGTTCATGTCCGGGTAGGCTCGCCCGATGTGCGCGGAACGTGCCTCTTGTATTTTGTTGGCGGTCTACAGTCTCTTGGCGAGGACTGCTGACATGTGTGGTTGTTGAGCCGCCGCCCCCATCGCCTACAATTGTACCGCTCTACGTCGCACTGCTCGTGCATGTGTATCAGGATGGTATCTTGACGTATCTTCGATTGTTTGCATCCCTCCTGTTCCATGGAGGGTCGAAAACTCGTGTCAGCCGAGCGGTAGCCGCATCTCTGTGCGAGGCCATGGTGGGCTCTCCGAAAAACACCCATGAACGAGCCAGCAACTGTCCGCCCTCCGACCCCTCCCCACGGCCCATCAATGCGAAAACCAAGGTGGTCTATACGGCGTTGTTTTTGTACACCGTCACTCGACCGTCGGTGCTTTTCGCGGGAACGTTCTTGGCGGTGGCAGCGGTGGAGGCGTCTTGCTCCTTCTCGACCAGTCCCACCGGCAGCCTCATCGACTCGTCCATTAGGCATGCCTTCGGAGGGGACGGGTGAGAGAAAAAACATCTATCAACCGGGAGCTTTCTGTATATCTGCCTTTGGGTCAGGGAGCTATGGGAGTTGCTCCGTACGCCAATGCGTTGGCAGCAACTCAGTCGTACAACCATTCGCGAAACACCTTGAGGTCGTCGGCCTGCCGTATCGTGTCGGAGCCGGAGAAAGCGACCACCACCAGCGGGAAACGTGATTGCAGTTGCGGTGTCGTGTTTCGATACCCCGCGGCGGTACCCGAATTCAGAGTCTTTCACTCACTACTTACTTCTGTCGAAGGAATAATATACTATTTTGCGTTTTTTACAGAGGTCGCGTTCTAAAAATTTAAAACCGTAGCACCCTCTCTCAAGGGTAGTGCCAACAGACCTTGGATGACTAGGCTATCCGAAACAAAAGTAGGTGGCTATTCGACGTGACTGGGATAAGTCATGGCGTCTACGCCAAACGTTTGGGACCGGGCTGGCTATCTTATAAAGCTTTAATAACCCACCTTTTTGATATCCTGACCGCGTGCTTTGCCTCCGAACATGCGTGGTTCTGTTGTTTCATGGCTGCGCAACATATCTAGAGTAACGCCGCCGCCCCCCCCCCCCGACACCTCTCCTTACCAAAGCAGATACCGGCAATCTTCGGCTGTGGGGTGCGATTGGTTTCGGGATCGCCTCGCTCATCGGGGGCTACGTGTGCGACTCCTACGGCGGCAGCTACACCGGGGTCATGATCGTGTTCGTCGCGAATGTCGCGGTGGCGATGGCGGCGTCGACCGGCGTTCCCATCGGGCGACGAGGGGGCGGAACCGCCACCCGGTGAGAACCGTGAGCAGGGCGAGTTTCATGCTGCGTTTTGTGGATGGTGTGCTTGGTGCTTATGGGCCGGTCCCTTGTGAGGTGCGTCAGGATAAGTTGCGTTTCCTGTCGGGAACAGTGTTGAATTGCCAAGCGCTGCGTTGAGTGGCAAAGTGTGCATCGAGACGATCGAGTGGCACGCGCTGCTGCTGTTGACAAGAGGTGTGGCTAAGGAGAGGGAGGCACCCCGGTACAGCAGCAGAGCCGTCGAATGGTGTTACATCTTTGTAGATCTGCACGCTATGCAGTGCCCAACGGCCGACCGAACCCACGGTGGCGTGAAGCGCTCAAGACCACTGTCACGAGCGTCGAGTCAGGGCACAAGGAGACATCCGCGCGTGCGCATTTTGACCCTCCTACGGGTGCCCACAAAGGAGCGCGTGTCTCTTCGCCCCCGCCTGAAGCGTTGAAATTGCCCGTGCCTTTCGATATCTCACGGCTCTGCGACCTTGCGCGCGCATCCCACTACAACCTACAACGTCTGCGCAATGTGGCCTGACGGGTTGATAACTTCGCCGGGACAGTTTGTTTTGCCTTCACCGATGAATCAATGATGATGATGATGATGATGATGTCCGTGCATCTGGTTTCCGTGTCCTCCTGAACCAAACCCAGAGACAAGCAGCTTGGCGGCGGCGGCGGCGGCGGCGGCGGCGGTAACGGCGTCGCTACGGGAGGAGACTTCGAGCTCGGCGAAAAGAGCACGGAGAGTCCCGTGTCTCCTCGGACCTCATCCCGAGGCTGCGCTGTTGCTCGTGACAAGACGGAGGGAGAACCGGAGTGCGGCGGTCTCATCGGAACTGCCGCCGTGACCCCAGCAGTGGCCACCGATACCGCCGCCACCGCTGATGATATTAAGCTCCATCTCCGCGACGACGACGAGCCCGAAGGCAACGACGAAGCCCAAACGCACGCCGCCTTGCTGTCCCGCCCTAGGACGACCTCGGACAAGGACGGGGGCGGCGACAACAACGGCAGCAGCGGCCCCAGCAGAGGTGATGGTGAGGGACCCGGGGCGAAGGCGAAAGAGCAGGAGGGTGTGCTCATGGCCGTCCGGATCATGATGTACACGGGAGAGAGCGCTTCCTTTTTCATGGCAGTGGGGCTCAGCGGCATGGGAGCGGGCGTGATCGACACGTTTCTCTTCATTAGGTGATGGCGGAGAAATTACCGACGTTTTGGAGCAATCGTTTGCTCTTGTTCGTGGGGATCGTGCGGTTGTTGACTGAAAAATCCTCTTGTTGGTGGTTGGTTGGTCGGAGTCTCAATAGCACTGCAGTACAAATAGCATGGTTTTGCGTGGTGATGCTCTGATGCTTGGGTGGTTTGTTTTTAGTCGACCATGTTGTGCTCTCGCCGATTCAGTGACAAAGCGTCGCCGACGTCGATGCATGAACAGAGTTTATTCTGGTTTTTTGTATGAGAGGCGAAACTGAAACCGAAGCTAAACACTCATCATGCCGGCCGTTCTGAGGTGGCGAACCACACGCGCAAGAGCAGCCCTCCTGTACGCATGCTCTGTGTTCGCGTTGGTGTTTAAGGCGAAGCCTGCATGAACCTCGGCTTGCCCATTTTCCTCCATGCCGCACATTGCGCCGCCCTTATCCCTCCACCGGTAGACACTCGAGGCCCCTAAATATGACTGCATTCTGGACTGGAGTTGACCTTTGATGTAAACCTTGACCCTGCTATAGCCCATACGCTGCCACCCTCCTTCTACTCTGTGCTTCAACTCCCACACGGATGTTAACCCTGACCCTGCTATAACCCCTACGCTGCTGCCCTCCTTGTACTCTTGTGCTTCAACTCCCACACAACCCCCCAACCCCATCTCCCAACCAAGGCTGGAAGAGCTCGGGGGTTCGCACGTGCTGTGCGGGCTCGCGCGTCTCATCATGTGCATCGCGGAAGTGCCGTTCTTCTACCTCTCGGGGCCTCTCATCAGGCGGGTCGGCGTACGGGGAGTGATCGCCCTCACCCAGGTGGCCTACCTGACTCGCTTCATCTACTATTCGGTGAGCCTTGTCTTTTGTCTTCCCCCGCTTACCGTAGGCTCGAGAGAGCTGGCGCACTCGCTATCCGCCTGGATGGAAGTTTGTCGCCTCCGCAGGCAGTGGTGGGGGGCCCTCCCTTCCCCTTCCCTCCAATTGTTTAGCTTTCGCTCCTTCAGAGCAGTGGCCACGTTTGTAGAGGTAGAGGGGTAGGGTGCCTGGTGTTGTTGCGAAGTGAGTTCAGCCGGCGTTCGCGAGGTCGCTGTGAGGCAGAAAATCGGGTGTCCTGAAACATTTTTTTCCCTCGTACGGCCACCACCGCACAGGAAGACTCTTTCAGTGGTTCAAAGGTGTACAGGTTGCCCAAGCACTGAAGACAAAAGGAAAATCATTTTGTTTCTTCTTGCCCTAGGGACACAGCAGGTCAATGGTGGATTGGACACCAGGTCGTTCGCCATGGGCCATCCTGGGCGACGGAGGCAAAGAAAGAATATCGAGCCTTGGCTCGTACTCGACGCTTTACAAATTTCGTCGGCCAACTGCAGCGACATATCCTTCTTTGTCTCTCCGTTTGTCTCGTCTGCTTCCTCCTACCTCGGGAACCAGGATCCCCTCACCCTATCTCTTTTTCCGCGTTCACAGGATTGCACAGCAATGTCTTTCCGTCCAACGAGGGCGGTGACGACCATAGCAGCGCACTGAACCACTCTTACCTATCTGAACCCGTGCTAAAGTAGTGCCGAACGCGCCCATCGCATACATGCCTTCACTTGAATCACATTCTGGCCGCCCGGTCCATTGGGGGACATGAGACCGACTCTGCCGGCTATTCCTGCCATGGCGGAAGGCTGTTAGTCTCTACCTCTGTTCTGAGTTGCATGGAATTGAAGTGTCTCGTTGCCCCTGTGCTGTCCTCTTCGGGACGAACTCGACCCTCGAACTGGCTCAGGTGCTACGAAAGCCGTGGTGGGTCCTCCCGGCCGAGGTGCTGCACGGCCTGACCTTCGCCGCAATGTGGGCAGCCACCACCGAATACGCGCACGGGATCGCTCCAGGCACGTTGTGCTGCTGCCGCTGCCAACTACAAATGCTAGTGTTCTTGTTTCTTTGTGCTCTCTCGTCCTGCCCATGCACGCTTTTGTATTTCGTCAATCGTTGCAAGATACCACGGCTGACTCCTACACTGCACTGCGAGTTTTGGCACGGCGTTGTAGCTTTGGATTCGGGCTGGGTGTGGTCGTGCCGATGCCGCATGTTTAGGCAACAAACGAAACACAACGGGTGTTGTTCTTGGACAGTCCTCATACCGAACTCGCCCATTCCCCATACAGAATACATGTAACCTCTCGGAAACTTTCCTCCCTCTCGTGGACGTGGCCGGCGCGATCACACGCAAAACACTGCCTCGCGCCCACGCGCGCGCCCACATACGCCCACCACACACACCATACGCCATGCGTAGGCATGCGAACGGTTCGCCCTGACCCGAGGGCTGCCTCCCATCTAACCGTCCCTCGGTCCTTCCACGGACCTCACAAACACAAAATCCAACCACAGCTCACTTGCGGACGACGATTCAAGGAGTCGTGTCCGGGATCCACTGGGGCCTGGGCTTCGGGCTCGGGGCGATGCTGGGAGGGCTCCTGTACGCAGGCCTCGGTGCTTCTAGGTGCTTCGCCGTCAGCGCCGCTTTGCCTTCGCTGTCCCTGCTGTTGCTGGTCCTTCCCACGGCGAAACGGTGGATCAGCGGCACCGACGCGCGCGACGGGCGACCGGGGGCAAAAGGTATGCCACCTGGTAGCAGCCGACGGTGCTGGGGCGGCTGCTGCGGCGGTGGTGGCGATGATGGGCGCTCTTCGTACGAGCTCGTTGCGAAGGTCGGTGAATGAACACGATGGTGTATCGCTTGTACTCCACAGGGCAAATTTCAGGCAATCCGGGCCTTTTTGTTCTGTAGGATCGGGTCTGGGGGGTAAACGGGGCGGCTGGCGACGCAATTGTTAAAGGGGGCGTGTAGTGCGCTCGGCGGAAGGGCTGGGATGGCCGCAGCGCAAGATGTTCTTCGTTCAAGTTTTGTGGGTCGGCGATGAGAAAGAAACAAATCGCGGCGGCATGCGTGGCAAATACTTCGAAGTATATCATCAGTACCTGCCCACACGCCGCAACCTCGCGAACAATCCCTCTTGTCAGGTACACCAGGTAATCTACCACAGTGACAACCGTGAAAGTAGCGTGTAGTCTCAACCACTCGTTCTGCGCCACGATACGAATTCCTCTCTCGCGTTGTGCTCTTGTAGGAGGCTCAAGCCAACAGTCCCAACGATCGAAACGGCTACTGCTGTGACGACGACGTCGATGCCGACGGAGGTGGGAACAGCATCGACAAGACCGACAACAGCAGCAACAACGGCAGCGACAGCGGCGAAGACGTCAGCAGCGACGACAGCGACCTAGAGGCACAGCGGCGGGAGGCAACGGCCGTGTAGACGAAACCCGCTCTGTTCTTCTGTCCCGTTACATCACAACACGGTGTGTGTACGATACGAGAAGAAAGCATTCTACAAATTTAGAGAAATTTTAGTATTTTAGAGTAAGTAGCTTGCCTCTTTTATTTGTTGCCGAGAGCGGAAGCAGTGTGCCAAAGAGTCTTCCTGAGGTCCGCATGGCTTTGAATTGGTGTGCCATCTACAAGGGTCGATGGGATTACTAAGGGCGCCGACACCAGGGGAGGGTGGAGAGTTGTGCTTGCGTCAAACACGATGTTCAAGTGTCAAGATAAAGTATATCCATCGCGTTTAGTAGCGGAGTAACGTGCGATGCAACGCCGTTCCACGCGGATTAGTCCATGATCTTTTAGAATCACGCTGTGCTGCAACAGTTCCGCTGCGGCAAACGTATCCCCCCCACCACTGTGTAAGCCACATCCCTGTAGACCTTCGAGCATTGACGGAGACACTTTTTTGATCTCTTGGCGTGCAGGGCGAAGAAGGTTGTTTCATGGGGCATTGATCGCCTCTGTGCGAGTTTATGAGACCGCAAATCTTGACAACAAGCTGTCAATAGAGTCAACCCCCTTACCTTCAACACCCTTGCCTTCAGCACAGCTGACACGGTATCCTCACGAAACAGTGGCTGTTGGTCCACAGCCTCCAGCGGTGAACTCAGCGTCCCTAGGTACATTAGCGGATGTTGCCGCTGCACAGACGAGACGACTCCGGTTTCTATTTACTGACAAAAAAAATGGGGTTGTTGGCCATTTTCTGCGCATTCACCGTGTGGGAGATTGTGTTGTACACGGTGGTGACTGTGATGGGACAGGGGGGAGCAACAATACTGCTGTTCACGACGGAAACGATGGGGTACAGTAGGTGGCAGGCGTTGGACGTCAAGCGTCACATAGATGCGGACACTAATGGAGAGGAAGGCAGCACCTGCGGCGCAGGAGAGGTCAAGGGTTTGTGTCGTACAGGTTTTCTGTTGTTTGACGACGAAAAACGTTCTTGAAAGCCCCCCCGCCCCCCCCCTCTCGTCAGCTTGGATTTCTATAACCCGTTTCGAAGGAAAACTCGATTCTTCTCCGGATTTCCGTCGACAAGGTGGTTGTTTACGGTGATTTTGGCGTGACGACATCTCGGGCATTCTTGGGACGAAGCCATCATCTGCGTTGTTTACACCCAGACGTACGATTCCGTTGTCCCTGAGTGTGATATCTTCGTGTTGTCTGTGTTTGTGGCGCACGTCCCCGCAGTAAGTTCAAGCCCCCTTCGTTCTCCGCCCGGGGGATAGGAAATCCGCACCATCAAATCGTTCAGTGAGTTCCGCCCTCTGTCGGTTCCTTGCACGTGCTTGCTCAGGCACGTTTGGAGACTTATGCAGTTTCAACTAAGCGTGGCGTTGCTTAAAGCCTTTTTCGTATCCTAGGTGTGGTGCATATTACCTCGGTGTTGGGGGGCAGATGGCCCCCAACAACAACGCCAAGCTGATCGCCTCTACGGCCAAAATTGTGCATCTTGGTGTTATCTATCGTACCAAGAACCAGTTATCCAAGAGAGGCCGTTTCGCGTGCCACCATGATGTCGAAAGTCCATGGCTCCGTCCGGCGGTTGGCTGCATTCTCTTAGCGCCACATCCTTACCAATGTGAGAGGACCTGTTCTGTGGCCCAGAAAGGATACACGTATCGCCAACACCGACACTCCGACTCCGTACACCTTTCATTTTCTTGGACGACTCACATGCACGCCGTGAAAGGCGACGCCGTTTGTGCGGTCTCCAGATATACAGGAGGAACAGTTATTTCGCAAGAGATGTTCGGCGCAACACCCGCGAGTTGCGTGGTGCCGCAATGTCCGATCCCGCCGTTAGTTTCTTCTGTACCACCGTTGTCTTCATACTCTGATATGCACTCGTTCTACAGTACCAGCCACCCCAACACACACATATCCACCTCATCTACAAAGGTACACTGACTTCATTTGAAACACGCATATCCGTATCATCTACCAAGGTAAACTAACTATTCCAGCTGGCACTCTCCTACCCCGCTACCTCCACTCGCCTCCACCAATATCGAACTGCTCAGCTTTGTACGCAGCGTGACTGGTTGTTGCATGGCTGGGTTCCAGCATTCCACAACCAAATAATTTCGACTGCTGTTCAAGGAATGGTATACACACCCATCCACACTCTAAGGTAAGCGAGACAATTTGGGGACAAAATGGAGAATCGCTCAATTAGCCCAGAAGAACGCTCTACATAAATGCATTCTTGGCAGCGTTGGGTCACTTGCTTCCCCGCCATACGTACCACGTCATTACCTTTCCGTTCTCATATTTCAGACTGCCACAATCGACTTCGTTCCCTTGACTGCGAACGAGGCATGACATTCTCAATAGGAGGGAGTCTACAAGTTAGGTTGATGCAGGAAGCACATCGCCAACAACCGAGGGTTCAAGGGCGGGAAGATAAGGTAGAAATATCTCACTTCTGCAACATGTATCAAGCCATGCTCTCAGCATTGATTGGCCTTTTCACCATATCGTGTGTACCGGCACGAAGGATCCAACAACATCTCCCGCCTTTCACATGAGAAGCATGCCTCATGAGCGGAATATGGCATGTCAGGAGCGCCTGTTGGAGTTACGGCGCGATTTTCCGACACAACCATAGCACTTGTAACCTTGTAGCTTTGGCCCATTCCTTGAGACTTGTCCCGCTTTCTCAGAAACTGCTTCTTGTGTTCCCCGCAGTACCACCGACCACAGACGCAGCAGACGCGTGACTTGTGCGGTTGCCGAACACGATGCCCGCGGGAGTCGCAGCAGATCGCGCTACAGCCAGGCGCAGAGCATCGCGCATCAGGGTACTTGGACACCTTCACACCCATCCTGAAAGGGGTGTACTCTGCACGTCGGCACCACCGGTACGGCAGCTTGGCTTCTGAGAAAGTCAGCACGAGCGAAACGCCAGGAAACCAGCGAGAAGAGAACATCGACAGGTAGGTTACATAGCTGGCGTCATAATACGGACAGGCTTGTGGGTGTGGCACGGGGTCACAAACTAGGGGAGGTGTGCATTGCCGCGACATATCTGGGTTGGGACAATGTGTTCCAGTGAAATTCGACACATCACAATGTTGTGGGAATGGACGCATCTCCTTTCTTAGTCAATGTCCGGTATTATTAGCAGCATCCCCATTCTGCGTGTTATGCTGAGACTACCGTGGTCGGAGTCGATTGACGCCTTGGAAACACGCGACCAGATCTTCCGTTCATCGGATCCACTCCGTGCATATTGCATAGAAGAAATGTCCCACACCTTGAATGTGTGTGTAGAAAGCTGTACAAGCCTTGTAAGACCGAGTATGTCTCGAAATCATAGGCTGGAAAAGGCTGCACCCCCGCCGGGAACATCGACTGGGTCTAGTGTCTAGTGCTAGGACGTTTCGCCCAGTCTACGGAGGGCCCTCGAGAAGCTGTTTTGGATACTCCACAATGGGTCAGACGCTTTGGTGCGCTCATCATATGCCTGTTTAAACATCATCAGAGCCGTTGCACGGCTCGACGCCCACAGATCAGTGGTCGCCCGAAGTCGACATGCTGGTCTGGATAGGCACGCCGTTCAGGGAGGACCGGGTGTTGCGGCACGTTCTACTAGGGGCGAAGAGGTGCATGGGTATGTCATGGAAGCCAATAGGACGGTAGCAGACCCACACGAGGTCCACCGAGTGGCTACGGAGGGGCCGTAGAGCGGGGAGGGTCGGGAGAGGAGGCAAGCAGAGTTTCTGTGTCGATTGGTTTTAGTTGTTGTTCTCTGTTGGTCCTACAGGCAACTTCGGCATTTCGTAGGCGTCTGGAGATGAGTTTGAGAACAAGGCGGGGGTACCTTGTTAGATGTGCGCAGGGTTTGTCGCATTGATTCGATTTGTGAAGAAGGGCTTCTCACGCCTCCAGGGTTTTGAGGCGCCTGAATCATTCGACGGCAACCCAACAATGAGCAAGTTCCCTAGCAATGCTAGGTCTTCTGTTGTCCCTTCTTCTGGCATCGTCTGTGGTCACGGAAGCTTGTCTCCAAGCTTGAAGACAAGCATGTGTCCATTTGTGAGCAGAAAGATCGGTCTTTCTCTTTCTCTGGTTTTTCTTCTCTCGCCCAGCAAGAACAGATCAAACTCGCTTGGAATGCAGAGAGAGAGCCCCAACCTCACTGCGCACGTTTATTATTCTTGATCGCTCTTGATCGCTCTCAAGTTGGGTGTACCAAGCGGTGGGTCGCCGAACGGGATGCCGTACATTGGAAAGGCGGAAACGGATGTAGTAATATTCTGTTTGAGCCACTGTTGCAGCCTCGCGTAGATGAAGTGTATGGGACTGATGAAATAATAGTGTGTTGTGCGCACGACTATCCCGGCCGCTTCGTCTTCGATCCGATGCTCATACTCTTGGGATTCGCCAAGGCCATCCGGAGAGTTGTAAGCAGCTGGCGGCGGCCGAAGGAATTATTTCAAATGCACAGAGAGGGTTGGAAAAATAGCCCGACGCGCCATCAAAGCACGAAAGAGTTGAGTCCGCAACCTATGCAGACGATAGAACAACTGCACCACCCATCCATACCTGTCAAGAAATGGAGGGACTAACAGGCCGAAGTACCCAACGTCCTGTGAGAAATGGCAGATAGTTTGTCTAGGGCCGGTGGCTCCTGCTTGAGGTTGCAATTTCGCAAAACGTTTTTCTGACTCTGGGTTGTGGTTCGAGTCTCTCTGGGGTGGAAACTAGCGAATTCGGGGGAGTACGAAAATACTTGTAGCCGTTCGGAGCACACACAACAGAGCGAACGGGACGGACTGCTGGGGGACTTTTCTTGCGATGAAAAACTAAATTAGGCAAGAACCGCTGAGGGAGGAGAGGTTTTACGGTTGTGTTTCTCTTTCTCCTGTGAGAGCCCCGGCTGGTGCGCACCAAACCTGTGCCAAATAGTGTACAAAGAAAAGCGCCAGGGATAGATGGAACGAACAGACACACAGGATAATCCTTTGTGTGTTGTACTGTCGAGTAGTGGTACAGTTTACCGCATGTTGTGGCGAGACAGAATCGAAATGAAGAAGAACACAAACGGGTGATATGACCTGGGCAGTCAGACCTACAGAACGCACCCACCGTTCTAGAGATACTTGGCGATCTTGCAAGCCTGTCGGTCGCCCGAGCGATGCCACCAGCTTTTTGAAGTGGAGCGAAACCACTCCACCAACCGTCTTTGGTGTCTGTAGTCGGGAATCAAACTCGTTGCGCTGAAACTCGTCCGTGCACTTTTTCACGGGTGAAGTTGGAGCAGCGAGCACAAAGCAGAGAATTAGATCCAAGCAGATAGAAAAGTACTAGTCTACTACTGTACACCACCGACTCAACGCCCGAGGTTCACCCCGGGCGCATTGAACATGAAGGAAAACAGACTATCCACGCTAAGATTAAGATTTATGCGGCGGCCATGTTGAAGCTGCTGTTTTGAACCATCTCTTTCCGGAAAATCTGCATATCTAGCAAAGGCGCCTACGCGGTGCTACAGCAGTACACCCAGTGCGATACAAACACAGGCAAGGATAGACGACTGCCATTTCGACGCAAATGCACTAGTATGTTCGAGACATCTATTCTCACTGCCGCGGTGTGGATTCCGGTGTAAGAACGTGTACGGTTGACGACGCGAGAACAGCAACTGGGGAGGATGGACTCGTATTCAGCACTTAGCCCAACTACAGCAGTAGATATGTTTGCGCACCCTAACGAAGAAGGAGCGGAGGAGAGAAGAGCCACAAAAAATTGGGAGAGTGCCTCGGAGAATTGAGGAATGGTTGTCAACCGTGAGGGGTGGCGGCGAAGAGGGTAGGACGAGCCGTGCTGCGGGCCAGATTAGCAAGGGACGAACGGACGCAGGCTCACCAAGGATAATGCGCACGACGGGTTAATTTCCCACGTGGAATTTGTGATTTGCTCAAGAAATTTGGATTATTAGAAAAAGCGACAAGAAATCAGAAACGCCGAAACCAAGAAATATCAAAACCAAAATCCAACCTATGAACCGAACCATTGACTTCCTCTCGGACTCACTAGGTATCACTTATCGGGCCAACCCGACGTCTATGCCCAGGTCATATCCCCATACACACAAAAGTCAACGCAAATTGGAGAACAAATTTGGCACTAGACAGATTTTTCTCTTCCCATTGATCCCTCCTCTCTTGAGCGACAGGGTGGGTGGG